GCTGAATACCTTGGTGCTGGGGGATGATGCTCCATCTTCAGGGCCCCAGTTGAGTGGGATAAATAACCCAAATTCAAGACCAGAACAGCCTGAAGGGAAGGCCTGAGATCGGGGGAAGTTTGGGTGGAGGTGCAGCCTGGCACGAGAGGGTTCTGTGGGTGGAGGCTCCAAGGTAGGAGAGGCTCGGGGCAAGGCTAGGAGGGCTTCCTGGGGAGTGGGGAGCAGTGAAGGTGTTGTGGTGGGTCTGGAGGCTTCGGACACCAGGCGCAGCCTTTCTCTGGCTCTCCACAGGCCCAGGTCCCACTCGCCATGCAGTTCCCAGCTGAGCTGACTCGGGATGCCTGCAGGGTGCGCCCCAGGGAGCTGACTCTCATCTGCATCTACTTTTTCAACACCCGCTTTTTCCAGGTCAGGGCCTGCTGGTAGGCCAAGCAGGGTGGAGGCGGGCTCCTTCCTGGGGGGCACCGCAGGCATGCATGCCACCTCCTGGCCTCTGGGCAGGGACCAGCCTACTGTGCAACTTCAGTCGATCAGTGCCCCTCTCTGGGCCTCTGTTTTAGCAAAATGGAAGGGAGGCATGATTATAATGTGCAAATGAGACCTACGAAATCTACTGTTTGTGTGCCTCTCCCTAGATGGGAGATAGACAAGTAGGTCACAAGATCTTTGTCCTCAGAGAGCTCTCTATCTCAACAATTAGACCAGGACCTTAGAGACTTAATTTTAGCTTGAGGTTGATTATAACCATAGAGATTCAAAGGGATGGATGAGTCAGGGTGGGGTCAGGATGGTTCCCAATGAGCAGTCCTGGAGGGCTTCTGGAGGAGGTGACTTTTAACCTTGGCTTTGAAAGTGAGTTAGGGTAGGGTGACATGGAGGGTATGAGGCTGGAATTCATTTAACAAATGGGAGGTGATGGTGGTGGTAGTGAGAAGACAGGGTTCCAGGTGGAGGGGGCAGCATACGCAAAGGCTGTGAGGCTGGTGCAGCTGTACAAGTGAAAGCCATGCTGCTTGTTCTCATCCAGGGAGGAGGGGCTGGAGAAGGGGGGCTCTTGGACCTCATCCAGGGTCTCCTCATGTCCCCTCCAGTCAGAGCTTCTTCTGTTGCCCTTCCAGAAAGACATCAATTCATCTGTGCTCAATAACTATGTTCTGGGGGCCCAGCTGAGCCATGGACAAGTGAGCAACCTCCGTGAACTGGTGAACATCAGCTTCTGGCACAACCAAAGCCTGGTATTGTTGGGGCCACCCCCACATCCACCCCACCCCTACCCCCTTGTGGCTGTCCTGTCGAACACTGGTTTGATCAAACCCAGACTTGTGGAACTATCTTAGAAACAAGCTGCTTTAAATCTATCATACTTTGAAAATTCCTGCCAAAGAAATGAGAGAGAAGCTTTTACACACTGCATTCATCAGGATTCTTTGAATTGCACATGATAGAAAACCAACTCAAGCCAGCTTATTGGCTCACATACATGAAATGTCCAGGTATGTTCTAGCTTCAGGCACAGATATGATGCCATAATGGCTCAGTCTCCATCTCTCAACAATGGTTTCCTGCCTTGGCTTTCCACTCTGTGGCAAGATGGCAGCTAAAGTACTGGGCCTCCTTCCCCTCTTCTCAGCAGGCTCTTTCTTGCCAGTGCAAACCAGGATCCCGTAACGGATTCTTAAGGTCCAGCTGGGTCCTGTGTCATCCATCCCTGACCCATCACTGTGCCCAGGGGGATGGAATATGTAGATTGGCCAGACCTGGGTCACGTGGCCCAGGGACTGGGCTGGATTCATTTGACCTGTCATTGGGAGAGGGATGGGTCCTCAAGGAAACTACAGATATTGATGCCGAAAGATGGAAGAAGGGCTGCTGGGTGGGCACAAGCCCTGATGGCATCCCCGAAAAGCCCCAGAGTCTGGCCCTATCTTCTGTCAGCCTCATCAGGACCGCTCTGCACTCCCAATTTCTCCACTGTCCTTTCCTTTCATTCTTCTGGGCTTTTGCCCCTGTTACATCCTTGCTCCACTTCTGTTGAAATCTGATGTGTCCTCTAAGGCCTCAGTGCCCCAGTTGTCCCTTCCCTTCTCAGGACTCCTCTGCCTTTTCCTCCATGGTCTTCCATGGAGTGCCTGTTTCATTTCCCTCACCTTTCCACCCACAGGGCTTGGCGTCAGGGTTGCCTGTAGATGACTCTCTCTCTCTCCCACTGGGATGGGTCTGGACTGTCATTGTTCCCCATGGGGAGGAGGGGAAAGCGGACATTGATTATAAAGCACCTACTGTATTGGCCAGAGCTGGGCACTCAAGATTTCTCATTGCCTTTGATTATTCCACCATCCTTGTGACTTGAGTATAAATGATCCCATTTTGCAGATGAATAAACTGAGGCTCAGAGAACCTCTGTGACTTTCCCAGGTCACTCTCAGAGTCCGTGGTGGAGGTGGGGCTGGAATCTGGTCTGTCTGATGCCAAAGCCCAGCCAGTGCCTGGTAAAATGTTGACAAGGGTGCAGCTGAGTCACCTTTGGCCCCCACAATTTCCAGACCCTCCCTGATCCATGGCCCTCCCCTCCACCCCTTGGATGCACCCAATTCCAGCATCTCCCCTTAGGAAGGCTATACGGTGACCTGTGTCTTCTGGAAGGAGGGAGCCAGCAAGCACCACTGGGGGGCCTGGAGCACTGAGGGCTGTCGCACAGAGCAGCCCTCACCTTCCCAGGTGCTCTGCCGCTGCAACCACCTCACCTACTTTGCTGTTCTCATGGTATGTGTGCATCTAGCCTGGGTGAGGGTGGTCAGAGCTGCAGAGGGCCCCATATCCAGGACAGAGGAGAAAGGCAAAAGCTGGTACAGGGGGCAGAAAATCCAACTCAAATGGGCTTAAGGGAAAAAAAAAACAAAACACCTTATGGGCTCATGTTCTGGAAGAGGCTGGGTTAGGCTTCAGGCATGACTTGATCTAGGGGCTCAGTGTCACCAAGACAGGACTCTATCTCAGCCTCTCAATTGTGCTTGCTTTGTGTTAGCTTAGTTCTCAGACAGGATCTCCCCATGTGCTTATAATATGGCTGCTGGCATTTCCTGTTTTATGTCCTACTAGGTTCAGGTCAGTAGAACGAGAGCTCTCTCACCGAATTCTGCCAGCCAAAGCCATAGGATTGAGTCCCACAGGCCTGGAGTGTGTCCCATGCCCATCCCTTAACCAATCACTGTGGGCAGGAGAGGGAAGGCTCTGATAGGCCAGGCCTGGTGCACCTGACTACACATAGTAGGAGAAGTGGAGGGAGGGGAGGACGGGGAGATGGGAGTTGGGAGGCAGAAAAGCCACTGTGTCTGCTGTGGCTGTTTTCAAGTCAGGACCACGGCTAGGATTGTAGGGTAGGGGGGCTTGAAGCTGAGGTCTTGGCTGGTATCTTTGATTTAGGCAGTGGAGAGCACTTCCATGCTTCTGGCCCCCCTTCCCTCCCACAGCAACTCTCCCCGGCCCCGGTCCCCGAAGAGCTGCTGGCGCCCCTCACATACATCTCCCTGGTGGGCTGCAGCATCTCCATCGTGGCCTCGCTGCTCACTGCCCTGCTCCACCTCCATGCCAGGTATTCCCCTGCCCTCGTGCTGGGCCTGCCCACCCACTGCTGCTCAACACCCCTCCTTCTTTCCTACTTGGGCCCCCAGAGTCAGGTGGGCTTTTCCAGAGTGCAGAGGCTGGAAAGTGGGAGACCTTGTGTGTGGCTGTTGTTGGGTCCCTGCCCCTCTCGACCTGTGTCCCGGTCATTACGTGTCTATGAGCCCAGGGGGTGGCGCTGCCTGGTGACGTCCCAGTCATGGAGGGCTATGCTCCCACCTGCAGGAAGCCGAGTGATTCCATTACGTACATCCACGTGAACCTGCACGCCTCGGTGCTACTCCTCAATGTCGCCTCCCTGCTGAGCCCAGTGCTGGCCGTGCCCCCCGTGCCTGAGTCAGCATGCGTGGCACTGGCTGCCACCCTGCACTACGCACGGCTCAGCTGCCTCACCTGGATGGCCATTGAAGGCTTCAACCTCTACCTCCTACTTGGGCACGTCTACAACATCTACATCCGCCGATACGTGCTCAAGCTCTGTGCCCTGGGCTGGGGTACACACGGTCTCCCTCTTGCTTGCTTCCTGAGGCTTCCAGCCAGACTGGGCGTCTGTCCCCTCCTGTCCTCCTTCTCCCCCACTGCCATGACCACTGGTCACCATCCCTGCCAGCACCCACCGCCGCTTCCTACATGACTATTCTTATCACCACTTCCACCTCCAAAGCATCTGTATCATCACCACTTCCAACACCACCGTCACCTCCACCATCCTCAGCCTTGTGTTCACCACCATCTCTGGTACCACCATCGTCGGCATCTCCATCACCATCCTAGCCCCTCTTTTTATTATCTCTTTCCTCACCGGTTCCCAAACCCTCTCTCCCATTACCTTCCAGCCGTCACCTCCCAGTGTGACCACTACTACTGCCGCTACCGTTCCACCCTAGAGCCCTCATTCATATCAGCCTTCTCTGAGACCACCAGGCTAATTGCTCTGAGGCTGGACCACGTGACAGCGGCTGGGGACTCAGAGCGATCTCTTTCCCTCCCCTCCCCCCACCCTCTGCTTGCCCAGTGGAATCCTGTTTTAGCAGCCCCAGGAACCCATGACCAGCCCATCTCTGGGGTCTCCTGACAGATACTGAGCCTCTGTCCCACCCCTCAGGGGTCCCGGCCTTCCTGGTACTGCTCCTTCTTGCCGTCAAGAGCTCAGTTTACGGACCCTACAGGATCCCGCTCTCCGACAGCCAGGGGAACAGCACGGGCTTCCAGAACACGTCCATGTGAGTCGCTCAGGGCTGCGGCAGGCTCCCTGGCTCTGGCAGCAGGGCCACTTGGTCCTGGGGCTCTAGACAGGGTGCCTTGTAGGCGGGGCACTGGCTGCAGGGCAGGGAGGGGGCTACTGCTTACATGGGGGGTGGTTTCCAGGGGTCTTTGCCACGCCCCTCCTGCTGGATCCCCAAGGTCTCCTGCAGGACGGGTTCACTCTCTATGCTAGTTCTAGGAAGCACATGGGCCTCCAAGGCCAGGCCGGGGCAGGGGGGCCTTTGCCCCCCACGGCCGCTGACGGCCAGCGCCCCTCTGGCTCTCAGGCCCTGCGGTGGAGCTCAGCCTCTGCCTGGCTCTTCTCTCTCCTCACCTCCGTGCTTCGCTCAGGCGCTTGGCTGTGGCTCCCCCTGACCTGTGCCTGGCATGGCACCGCCAGCCCTCCAACCCTCCTAGTCAGAGAAGAGAGTGTTGTGGGGATTGGGACACCACAGGCACCATGCTCAGAGGGTATGTGGGGAGGGGGCCCAAGGCGGTTTGGGGGACAGACTCTGTCGCCCCTTCCCGTGCCCTCGGACATTAACCTTTTTCTTGTGATGAAATGTTTCTAACAGGCAACATAGAGGGAATAGCTTAACAACCCCCTGCAGACCCATCACCAGCAGTTGGCCGTCTGGCCTTTTTCCCTCTCCTGGCTGACACCAGCTCAGGACGGCTGAGGGCTGGCTCTGAATCCTCACAGTAAGGAACAAGCCCCATTGTCAGCCCTTGTTTACAGTTGGGGAAACCGAGGCACAGGCGGCTGAAGAACCCTGGCCAAGGAGACCCAGCCAGTTGAGGGCAGAGCTGGGACTTGGATCTACAGCCCGGCCCCCAACCACTGCCCATCCCAGTCCCTGGGAAGTGAGGGCTCTGGGCACGGAGTGAGGCTGAGATGGGGTTAATTCCTCTCTGTGAGGGTGGGGGTGTTTTCTCAGAGGAAGTGTGACTTAGGACTCTTTAAACGTGTGTTTTTATTGTATAACATGTGACGTGGCAAAAGAACTGCAGTGAAGCTTCCACAGAACAGGAAGCACGTTAATGCAGGGATGTTAGCGAGCTCCCGCCCGAAGAGCCGTCTTCTTCCCGGTCTTCCTCACCTCTCCCCCTCCCCTCTCACCCTGGATTTTGTGACTTTTATTCTCCTGCATTTAAAAAACCCTTACTACATATATATGTATTTTTTAAAACTTCTAAGTATAATTGACATATAACACTTTATTAATCTCAGGTGAGCAACATAATGATTTGGTTGTATATATTTTGCCAAATGACCGCGACAATAAGTCTAGTTAACATCTGTCACCAGACATACAGAATTGATTTTTCTTGTGATGAGAACTTTTAAGATCTACTCTCTTCGCAACTTTCAATTACGCAATACAGTATTGTTAACTGTAGTCACCATGCTGTACATGACATCCCCAGGACTTATTTATTTTATAACTGGAAGTTTGCAACTTTTGACCCCCTTCACCCGTTTTGCACCCTGTCCCCCACTCCCTGGCCTCTGGCAACCACCAATCTCTTCTCTGTATCTATGAACTTGTTTTTTTGTTTGTTTGTTTTAGATTCCACAAGTAAGTGAGATAATACAGTATTTGTCTTTCTTTGTCTGACTTATTTCGCTTAGCATAATGAGCTCAAGGTCCATCCATGCTGTCGCAAATGGCAAGATTCCCTTCTTTTTATGACTGAATAATATTCCACTGTGTTTATATGTGTGTGTGTGTGTGTGTGTGTGTGTGTGTGTGTGTGTGTATACCACATCTTCTTTAACAGCAATTTTAAAAAACCTTGAAAATAACTCGAATGCCCACTGATAGGACACCAGACTAGTAAATGCGATAGAGCCACCCCTGTCAGACAGTCATCTGGCAGTGAAAAGGAATGATCCACCACCACACTCATCCACTTGGATGAACACCCAAAATCATGTTCAAGGACTCTGTGACTGCAGTGAAAGGAGCCCGAGCAGGTGATCGTGACAGTTAGGGGCACAGGCTCTGTGCTTAGACCACGGGGCTTCAAGTCCCACCTTAGGCAGGTGTGCGTTTCTAAGCCTCATAGGGTCACCATGAGGATCGCATGGCTGATTCACGGAAATCACGTGACCTGATGGGGTAAAAGGCAGCACCTGCCTTGAAGGTGTTTGGGGGAAGCAAAGGGCGTGAAGACCTCACGGAGGGTCTAGGACCAGGGCTGGGGCCACTGTCAGGGATCTCTCTGACCTTCCCTCTGCCCTGGGTGGAGTTTTCCTGCTGCTCCCCCGGCTCCTCAGTCCACACATGGAGAGCGCCCCTCCACCAAGCTGCGAGTTGCAGCAGCTCGGGGAAGGGCCGGTGGCCCAGTCCAGGTGGGGAGGGGCTCCTGGCGCCGTTGCACGAAGATGGGGATGAGATGGTGATAATCGTGTGGTTGGTGGACAGAGAAGTTTCCAGCAAAGAGGACCATGGACCAATGATGCAATCAATACCTTATAAGTTGACAGTTGGGCTGGCCGGGGAAGGGGGAAGGGTTAGATGTTCAAGGGAGGAGAGAAAGAGTTTTCAGGTGGTTAAAGAGGGTAAAGGGGGCATGCAGGGGCTTCAGGCAGGGGACTGAGGTGGCAGGTGGGTCCTACCTGGTGGCCTGGCTGGAAAGCTGAGCCCAGGACTTCGCCACGTGTGCAGTCGGGCAAGAAATAACGGGTCTGAGCCGGAAGCCCGGACCGGGTTCAAGAGGCAGTCCAGAGGCCCAGGAGACCGCGGCTTCCCTGCCACCAGCCTTGGGAGCCACACCAACCCCAGCGCTTTGCCCCTCCCCTGCAGATGCTGGGTGCGGAACCCCTGGGTGCACGGTGTCCTGGTCATGGGCTCTGGTGGCCTCACCTCCCTTTTCAACCTGGTGGTGCTGGCCTGGGCGCTACGGGTCCTGCACAGACTGCGGGCGCAGGAGAAGGCGCTGGGCCCCCGGGCCTGCCGGGATACCGCCCCCGTGCTGGGCCTCACGTGCTGCTGGGCGCCACCTGGACCCTGGCCTTCTCCTTCGGTGTCTTCCTGCCGCCC